GAACATCTGCGATAATATTTTCTGCAATAATAATCTAACACAAAGGTGAAAGGTAATTTTAAATTTAAAAAAATGTTATTACGTATGCAGGCAAAAGTCATTAATCATATGGTGCTGAAAAGGAAAAAATTGACAACGGGCCTGTGTGTATGTGTGTGTGTATTTTTTCTATGATATATCAGCCACATCCACTCTGCTGAGACACAAACAGTGGCTGCCTGTTTGCCCGGTCACTGCTCTCACTGCAGGATCACAGTAGAGGATCAAAGACATGCCAAACAGTAGTCTGAGAGTGAACGTGCTGCATGAGGCTCTGTTGTGTCTGGACTGCTGGAGTCTGGTCAGAGGTGCTGGCCAGGGGGAATTCTCTGAGAGCTGAAGGAAGTGGGCTAGCAGCAGCCAGTCTGCTTACGTGAGTGCGTGTGAGTGGCAGCGCATGAGATGGTGATGATATCACAGATCTGGTTAAAGGAACTTTTGACAAGCAGCGAATGCAAACCTAACATTAAAGAGAAGCAGGGAGGGAGGGAGTGAGGGGGAGCGGTGTAATAGGCAGACATGGTGTGATAAGGAGGGAAAGGGGGGAGCTGGGGGGGGGGAGGCAGCTGGAAATAACGGACAAAGCTGTAGGAATTAAACCAAAATATCCAGATGCAAGATGACAAAAAAAGTGAAGGATGTCGTGTGTGTGTGTGTGTGTGCGGCGAGTGGAAGACACATGACTTTAATCAGGAAAGAATGCAAGATATATGGCTACTCACCAGCACGATAAACAAAGTTAGCCTCGGCCTCTGAAGAGGACGGTGAGAGCAGCTCGTCGTCGTACTCGTTCGAGCTGAAGGAGCCGGAGTGGTTCCTCTTGCGAGCGTCCATGACGGCGTTGGCCACCATGACGTGACGCAGCGAGTCGTTCAGGTAGCGGTGCAGCAAGCTGCTCTTGTATTTGGGGGGAGAAACGTAGTCGTCGGCCAGGGAGGCGGCCTCGGCGGCCGAGCGTAGTCCTGCGCCCATGCCCATGGCCATGCCCACCATGGAGGAGCCCTCCTTTTTGATGACACTCTGGTACATGGGCTTGGTAAGCTCCTCAGGGCCGCTCTGTGTCCTCTGAGGGTTGTCACCATCTGCAGCATCACAAGACAAATGATGGGAGGAGAAAATGAGTTCCCATTTTTGTTTTTTCAATCATTTTCTCTCAAAGAAACATTTAACTTATATATAACAAGTGACATAATCTTAAATTACACCAAAAGGTGTAAAAAAGTAAAGAGCCCCTTAATTTGAAGTTGTTTTTTGGATGGATCCTACATTGGTATTGCAGCCACAAAATGATGGTAAAAAAAGAGCTATAACAACGGAAAGTAATAGTATAAATAGTGCATAAATCGTAGAAATATTACAATAAAATAAAAAAACCCACATTAGACATTTCAAGAATAATTTGGCATAAGTAGGATATATTGCACTTTACATGAGAATTGAACATTGACGACAATCGTGAAGTGGCAGTGGATTATTAGTAGCAGCAGTGATCAGGTGTTGAATTTGAATTCCTCCAGTATGTCTGCCCAGGTGGTAAAGAATCAAAACAGCCACAATTATTTAAAGCCAACTTCTTTTTTTTTTTTACCAAGTAACATGTACGTATCTCGCCTTTTACCTCCACAAAACAAACAAAAACTCTATAGTACCAAAGACAACCTAAACCTAAAAAGCACACACATTCGTTTTTAATTCTTCTACATTTTACATACACTAAGTAAATAAGGCACGGCTAAATATGACCTGATGTCAAAGTAAACAATTTCAATGTCTGTAAAACCAACAACTCCTGTGGATTACACGGCCATCTGGGACAAAAATATGAAAATAAAAAAAGAAATACCCCACCGCCACCAAACAGATTTTGCATCACAATCCAGCAGGTGGCAGGCCAACGGACTTTCTCAGCACTATGAATAGCACGTTTCTGAAACACATCGGTTGCAGAAACCTGTTAAAACCCAAGCTATGATTCAATGGCCATAAATATATATTCCACGTCGTTGTATACAGCTGTGTGCAGAGTGGCCCTTGAGATTTGAGATTTTCTGCAGTTGGTTAACTGATATGAATGTGCATAAACACTTCTACTAAGTACTGCAGTAATTTTAGCCAACTCAGTGTCATATGGTTTGCAGGAAAAATCACTGCACACTTCGGATGTCTAAAGTGTGTGTGTGATTGCTGCGAGTCAGCAGTTTGAGTGACAGACCACTAAGCCTGTCAGCTACCGCCTCATCCACTCAGTGGACCGCACTGATAGTTGTGCCCATAGACAGCCAGGTACAGAAAAATAGTTTATTTTCAATTGAGTAATGGCAATTGAAAAAGTGCGACAAAATCAAAATTTACGTGACGCTCAAAAAAGACTAAAATTGCCTTGCAATACAACGTAAAACGGGACAGGTGGTGACTTTTTGTCATCTTCTGTGAACCACTTCTGTGATATACTTGAGTTCAGCTCAAAAATCTACCCCTAAATCCAGTTGTTTCTGTTTCTCCATCAGTCCTGAAATTCCCACAAAGTCCAATTTTTTGGTAATGTTTTAAAATGTCTCCACTACTATTGCAAATACTGCCATCTGCTTTGACAAACCACTATAATGGCTCCAAACAAAGGCTACTCTAAGCAACAAAAAAAAAAAATTAAATTACCCTCCAACGTCAGACGTTCAAATCCCAGGGCCAAAGTCAGATTGAGATTCCATCCCGCTAATCTAAATCTAAGCACCAGGCGCTCCTGCCCACTTGTTGGCATTGTGTCAAGTACAGAAAGCCTAGCTAATACTTCCTCCCCATCAAAAGCCTGTCACGCCTCTATATCCCTGCAGAAATAAATAATTCCCAAGGTGCTCTGCAACTCAAAAGACTGAATTAAGCTCGACGAAAAGGAGGGCGGGTGGGGTGGGGTGGAGTGGGGGGGTGGGAGATAAAACATTCTGCTAAAAGACGCAGATATCCTCTGGCAAGAGGGAAATCAGGGAGAAGGTCAGTGTAGATACTGCGGCGGCTCAGACTGTAATTTTCTTATTTGGACAGGTTGGACATTCGATTCAGTCTGGGCCAAATGAAAATTATAGCTCCTACATATCAGAAACACATGGAGGTAGCGAGCCTGCCCTTCCTTTTTTCCTGAGCCACCAGAGGAAGAATTAGGCAAACGCTCCACATCACATCAGTCCACATCACTCAGACACATCACAGAGGGGATATTAAAGCTGTTCCTCCTAATCCCTTCACAAGGCCTTTCAATATCAACACACGACACCTTTCTCAAATTAAAATTTCTCCTTTTGCTCTTCTAAACATTCAGGCTCAAATTTGACGTTGACGAAAAAAAAACAAACAAGCTGGACCATCTCAGGACAGTAGGCAAGAATGTACAGAGGGTCAGTGGGGTCAGGTCCGGGCCCCATAAATAGCCTCTGGAACAAAAGCATAGGCATAAAAACATAATGGAGGGCCTTTCAGCTCCTGGGTCAGGAGTAGCAGCAGGCTGCGGAGAGCTTCATAACCATAATGTGACAGGGAGAAGAGTCAGGGAGATATACAGAGCCTCCGGTGGTACAGTGGCCTGTGGTGAACACAATGCAAACACCATACACACATTCCTCTGTCAGCCACACGCTCTGCCTGTCCTCCTGAAAATTTTAATTAGAGATCACTCCCACCACAGCGCTCCTTCCTTTCTGTTCATTTTTTGCTGCCTAAGTGTGTATGTTTTATTTTACTTTAGATTTGTGTTGTTTTTTTTTTTATGTTTCCTGACCATGTTTTCGGTGCTGTCAGTGAGTCGAGAACGGCAGGCGCTGCTTCGAAAAAAAAAACACACAGCATGTGCAGTAAATACACGCGATGACAAAGAGCCGCTCATTTCCAATTGTAGGCTGGGAGACATGTTGGCTCAGTGGGGTGTCTTAATGACAGTGTGCTGCAGCCCGCTGGCCCCGGTGTCTTTCAGCTAGGTCACACACACTCGCCATGTATATACACTCTGAACATGACTCTGCATATCATCAGCAGGGGATGGTGCAGCCTTTGGCCTCATTTCACAGTATAATTCTAGATGTGAATTTTTGAAGGAGTACGATGTGAAGAGATGTTCCTGATCATGAGGGCTTCAGGGCCATGACAGAGCGTGGGATCAAGTCGTAGTGAAGTTGTGGGAAAATCAAAGATGGTTGCTGATGCTTAGAACAACCATACATTAAAACATTGTTTCCCAAAGACTGGGTTGTCTCGCATCATGTTTCCCTGGAGTTTATGAATAATGTCTATTGACTTGGGTTGACTTGGTTTGTGACTTTTAAAATATGGGTCCCCAGAAAAAAAGTTTGGGAGACACTGCATTAGAAGGATGTATTCCAACAACGCCACTCTTGATTTTATTGTCATCTTCTTTAGTCGCCGATTCAGTCGTCACATCTTTTGGGAAAATATTATTTTTGTTAGGACACTTCCTTTGGCAGATATTTTGCATCTTGAGGTTCATGATTCAGTTTGGAGTTAGGCTTAGAATTAGTGCAAAGTTTGATCCATGCTAAGGATAAAGAAAGAGGAATGTTTCTATGGGTTGTTATCGCTGCTACTTTCTGTCATTTCTGAATTTTCATTAAGTCGTTTCAATGGTATTAGACCTAAAAATCATGGTTCAACTCCGCTGACTTTCATAAAAAAAAAGCTAAAAGTTTCATATGCAACCAAGGAGCATCTTTCATCAGAGGGTGCACGACGGCTGTTTTCTTAGACCTCACAAAGCTCCTGGAGAGCCTCGGGGCATTAATATTACAAAGATGTTTTTACTATTGAGTAGAGCTGCTCCTGTAATATTCTGACACAGACCACAGCACTGTGTGATCGAGACTCAAGAAACAGTCCCCTCACAGTTCTTCCTCTCGACGGTACAGAAACATGAAACTCTCCGTGCCGTATGAAACATATTGATTCCGGTGTAACTACAAGTTAGCTGGCACCACCGAACCTAGCATGAGCCCAGCAACAATATTACATGATATTAAAACAGGAAAAGTGAGATCAGGATTGGTTATACAGTACTACTCGGTGAAACACTGTGGCATTTTGTTGGCGAGCCGCAGCCCGGTTTTACTTTCCACATGGTTATTGCTTTGCATCCGTGACTTTTTGCCCTCACATCATGGATTATAATCATAACTATCACATACAACTGCATGGGTCAAATGCTTCAGTGAAAAAAAAAAAAAAAAGCCAATAAATCATCCACACAGACAGCGGGGTCTGGAGCTGGAGGGTACTCGCCTATTTTGGTCACAAAGCTGTGATGCTGGTGGATTGTGAGTTTCTCACATTTGCAACTTGACCCTTGTTGAACCCGCAGTGTAAAGAGAGGGAGGGCTGTCGCCGCCGTACCTTCTGAGCAGCTGTCGTCGCTGCTGATGCTGAGCCTTTCTGCGTTGCCCTGAACATACTTGTTGTAGAGTTTGATTCTGAGCGCCCAGCTCAGGTCCGGCTGCCGCACCGTGTTCTTCAGTCGCCTTCTCGCGTTGGCAAACCAGTTGGAGACCTGGGAGAGAAGAAAGAGGGGGGAAGTGGGAATGTCACGACACAGAAACACATGCCACGTTAGCGATTGCAAACATCCCTCAGCAGTCGTATGAAAACAAATGTGTTAATTTGTGGAATTGTCTGCTCTGTGCCTGACTGGTCAGCCTCGTCCTGAAAACCAGGAGAGACCGGAAAGAGGGTTGGGTTTTGGAGGGAAATCTGTGACACAGAACATCCACAGACATCCACAGCTACTCCAGAGAGTCACACTGCCACGCCTCCTTACATATCAGCTCCACTCAGAAATGCTAGGCCCACACCGACTCCCGGTCAGGCAACAAATGCAACATTTGATTAGCAAATGTTCCGACCAGAGCGAATGTCCCCCTCCTGCTTAGCCTGGAACCACGTAGACTCTCCAAAATAAAACAATTTTTTCCGACGGTGTCTTCAAGATGTAATAAAAAAGACACTGGAGCCCACACTCTTCCTTTCATTGGGAAGGGAGACCATTAGAAGTCATACTAGAATAACTTTCATGCTCAATAGATTTCAAGCGGCTTATGAAGCGGCTGAGACAGGGCCTTATGCTAGAGTACTTATTTTTCTGATCCCCTCTTTCGGTATTGTGTTTCTCGTTAACTAAGACCGTCCCACATCTTTTTGTCTCAGGCCCAGAGCTGTGGCACTCCGTTGGGAAGGCAGCGCTCGGTACATGTGGCTTGGCTGAAGCGGAGGCGAAGTGAGACGAGGCAAGGCTAATGAGGACGGCGGAGAGAAATCGTTCCGTCAACGGGGGTGAGTGAAAACAGAAAGGAAGGCGACGACAGGAAGCTCGTGCCAACGACACCAACAGAGATTTTTAAAAAGGTCGGTTGCCAAACCGGCTTTTGCTCATGGCCTGTCTGCTCTGTGTGATCCGTGCAGTAGACAGCATGCAGGAACGGTGACAGACTTCAGAGGTGATGGGGAGGATGGCGCTGGACTGTTAGCACACACTTGAAAGAAACAATTCACTACATGTACATGGAAAAAGGGAGCTGTTCTGCTCAAACATGACAGATTGTGTTGCTCTGAAGGTGGGAGTTGGGAGGAAAGCTGCACAGGAACCGATGCGTTCTATATTATTGGAAGCAGCCACAGATGGTTGTTTGGACCAAATCATGGAAGAAGTGGGTATTCTAAGCAGCTATGACTGGAGAGGGAAAAAAATGCCACCTGGGGCTGCGACTGGTTGTTATTTTAATCTTGAGTAAATTGTTGATTCTTTTTTTAAATACCCAATTGGATGTTTAGTCTACAAAAAAAAAATCAGTAGACAGTGGAATTTATGTTCTAATGTCAAGTGATCTCCACATTGAAAAAAAAAATATTACATTTAAAAGTGATAAAGTAAAAAAATATATTATTGTTGCTGCTGCTGTGAATGTCATCACGTTTTTTTTACATGATAATATGTAAAACATTTGAGGTAAAAAAAAAAGTCAAATGATCCTCCTTTTACTGTGTAAATATTTTGACCTCTTTTCATATCCACATAGAATAAATTATCGCTCAGTCTCCAACAACGGCTCATGTATTTTATAATGTAAATCCTATTTCATCCTTTTCTCTTTATTCGGTCATAAACCAGCGTCAGATGGTGTAAAAACGATTTCTGTCTAACAATTGCTAGACGTGAAGCGATTAATCAGCTCAGCACCACAAGTTTAAAAAAAGAATTAGACGACGGTGTAAATAAAGTCAGCGTAAAAAGTCCATCCAGTGGAAAATATTTCACCTCCGTGTCATCACTCTTGTTCAAATTCACAAATCATCCGCTGACCTTTGACCCAGCTGCTGTTGTTCTTTGGGCGTGAGCTTCAATGTGTGTGTGTGTTTGATTTTTTTTTTTGCTTGTTCGCATGCATGTGTGTGGCGTGTTCACAGCCCAGCATCCCTCTGTCCAACACAAAGCATTCCTCCGCACTCTGCTCGCGGCTCACCAAAACAAACAGCTCCATCAGGCCCCCAAAATGAGAACCAGATTAAGCGCCGTGGCCGGCGGCCCGAGAAAGGCTTCTGCAGACGTTCTGAGGCTGTATCAGTGACCTTGTCAGCCAGATGATACTGTACACACACAGCTGGACACACCAGACACCAGAGAGACTCAATAATCACCGCCGGATTTTTCTTTAAGTGGTCACTTGTCAAAGCCAAGTTTTTCCAATGGACATACGGCACGAGGGCACAACGGAACCAAGGAGTAGAAACCTCTCATCGTACTTTGGAAAGATTTTTTTTACATTTTGAAATCCACACAAACGATAAAAGAATCCGGTTGTTCGTTATAAAGCGGAGGGTTTTTCTTTTTTGTAAACAGTCCCATAACTCACCTGTTGAGGAAACAGAACATCACTACAGTAAGGTGGAGCCACATGATGTGATTTACACCCTGTCTAATGAGTGTGAAGATGACCCCCCCCCCGCCCCCCCCCAAAGGTCTGAACTCTGTGACTTCACGTGGACAAATTCACAGCCAATTTCATCTGCAGGATGAATCGCAATTTCTATTTACGACTACGAGCTCGACACGGCCGTGAAATAACAAAGGAGCGGACGTGACTGCCAACTGTTGCGTTTCAAGGAAGCACAGCAATAACAACTCACCACTGCATGAGGGCTGTAAAATAAACAGTTCAAGATGTAAAATGGATTTCTACCCAACCCCTTACTAATTGACCAAGCAAGTCCAAATCCAATGTTTCAGTCCTGATTAAAAAGACTCAAAAATCACAACTCCTACGCCACAATTAGCATAAATGTATATCGTCACTACAAGATCACTGACCGATCAGGGAAGTGGACTCACCTGGACCAGGGTCATTTGCGAGCCGAGGGCCAGCAGGATTTTTTCCGTCTTGGTGGGGTAAGGGTTGTCCCGGTGTTTGTACAGCCACTGTTTGAGTGGTCGCGCCATGTCCTGCAGGGCCTGGCGTTTGTGTCGCACCTTCCCACCACTAGGTCGACCCCTGTCGGAAACAAAACTAATGTTTAGTCAACACCAAAACTGTAAACCTGGATTTTATTTTTCCCTAATCATAACACCTTTTAAACAAATAATTTCACCTCCCTATACAGAATATGCAGAAAATGGATCTTCCTGTTGATGTAAACTGTCAAGCTCATTATAGAATATTGTACTGACAGGATGTTTTTTCTTTTTTTAGTTTATTCCTCTTCCAAATTAATGTGAAATTTGGACCGAAGCTCATAAAAGGGAACAGGGATCAGGTTGTTTATTGCGCTAAACCAAACAAAACACTTTCGCAGCTGCGAGTGGTCTGCATGTTGTCTGAATTAGCTTGTCATGACACACAAAGTGAACACTCCACACACAGTGTACACTTTTCTCACCCCGAGCTCTGCAAATTAAGCAAAAACATGAATTACAGGGGGAGAGAAGGGAAGAGACATAGAGACATAGAAAGAAAGACCACAGCAGACAGAGT